GTCACATGGTATGGAATGTCCCTTTGGCCAGTTTGGCTGTGCCCCCTCCCAGCTTCTTGTGCACCTGCAGCCTTCTCAGTTGGTAGAGCATGGGAAACTAAAAAGTCCTTGGCTAGTGTAAGCACTACCTAGCAACAACTAAAACATTGGTGTGTTATCAACATTGTTCTCCTCCTAAATCCAAAACACAGCACTGTACCAGCTACTAGGAAGGAAATTAGCTCTACCCCTGCCGAAACCAGGACAACTGGGAGCAGATCATAACCATTTCTCTGTAAGAAAATGAAGCTATCTCCTGTTCAGAGAAGCCTGTTGCGGAGACCTCCAGGTGAGCTGCCCCGTGCACAACACGCTGCTGTGCAGAGACACCAGCTCACATCCATCAGCTGCCACAGCCAGCACACACCTCACCGAGCCGGCTCTCAGAGCCAGTGCCGTCCTCTGCACCCCTCGCTGCACTTCCAGCTCCGAAGGCAGCACACAGCAAAGCTGTCTCTTGTGCTCACAGCATAGTTATGCCCTGATATAGCTATAAACCCAGAAGGTATTGACACTTCTGAATTCAGTCTCAAATTCTCCTTGGTTATCTCGGTCCTTAACTTCCCAACTGCTTTTGCTTGTGCCTGTCAAGCCGGCTTACTCACTTGTCTTCTCCTGTATCAAAATGAAAGCATGGCTAGTTAGAAAGGGCTGACAATAAAATCCTGTAAACTGAATGAAAGAAAGAAAAAAAAAACTACCTCAGCATAACCATCTCTCTATAGCCTGAGAAAGAAAAAAGTGACAGCAACTCCCAGATTTTTAAATTATCCTTATTGATTGATGTTGATGTCATTGCTGAAATGGGAATAAAAGATTGAGTTTGTTTACTGAGATCTATTCAAAACTTCACTGATAGTTTAACAATAAGAACTGTATAAAAAACTCAGCTGGGTAGAGGCAGACATCCTAAGAGGTAGCTTCTTAAGAAGGGAAGAGATGCCATCGTGCAGTATATTCACCCCTGAATACACCAAATGCATTTCCTGCACGGAGGTTGAAGAGAAAAGTACCAGCACGGGCACTGACTCTGCTGGTTCTGCCCTGCTAAGAGAAGGGCAGATAGAGAGGGAAATTTATTTTTGTGAGTAGTCAGTTATGATTTGACTAGCATAAGGAACTTATTTGTTGAATTAGTTACTATCATCTTAAAATCATCACATTTCAGAGTAGAACCACACTTTAAATATGGGAAATGTTATCTGCTGTATATGTATTACATTATAAAGCATAACTAAAGTTGAAAGCCACAGAACCACACTCAATGCTACTGCAAGACTATAGAACATTTCTGTGTTCACCATATGCTGAAGACGTCAGCAGCCAAGAAGTAATACACTTAGTAGCCTAAACTACAGCGTGCTATGGGCCAGTATCTGTGCAAATATTTCTGAAATGAGTAATGAATAATTATTCTGAGAAACAACTATGCCACTGCAAACATCATCATTTCTAGATACACAGAGTGCCAAAAACTAAACACAAACCTTGGACAAGAACAAAAACTCTCTTTTTATGGGTGCAAAATTCTACAGTATTTCCTTGTTTGAGACATCTCAAAGATACCATATCTAGCTAAAGTATTTCACCTCTTGACTTTTATGGAAGCCTTGCTGTGATTTTTTCAGGCACTAAGTCACACAGAATATTCTATGTTCCCTTTGTACACTTCAGAAGTAGACAACAAAAGCTTCCCCCCCCTTACGTTATGTTTTATTCATAACCATTGAAAAGAAAAATTGAAACTATGGTGAGAGTCACTCTTTAGACTTGTCTCTATTAGAAAATTGAATCAGAACTGTAAATGGTTTCAGACACAGATACCCAGGACCAGCACTGAAAACAGAGTAAGAACTAATGCAGACCTGGAAAAGCTAGTTCCAGTACAATTTTAAAAAATGCGATTGAAATGAGATCTGATTTGCTGCCACTGGAATTGTTCACTGGTAAGGGGCTATCTCTGAGACAAAGAAAATAGCTGTAGGCTTCATTACACTCCAGAAGAGCCACGGTTTACAGCACGCATCCTCCTCCCAGCGGCTCTGGACTGAGAGCATCGTCAAAGGAATGGACTCCTCCGGGAAAGGCCACCATTGGCAAGGGTGCTGTGAACATGATCCGCAGTGGCTCTCCCTCAACCAGAGGCATCCGATCTGATGCTCTGGGATGTTTCTCAGCTAGAAGAGAGTTCCTCAGCCTGTATTTGAACAATCCCATTTCTTGACCTGCATCACACTGAAATTATAACAGTCAGGGCCTGATTCTGTAACACTGACTGTATTTCTGATACTCTGATACTTGGTAAAAATGCCCTCTAGGCCAGACGATATATAAGCCATGTTCCCAGCCAACAATGCAGATTTTGCATTATCAGAATATACCCAACTGTGGCTGTTTTCAGTCTTCTACATTCACAGGTAGCCATGAGGAATAAATCAAACGTTAGAGAACTTCTACAATTTCATCAGCTTATATCTGCATCCAGATTGTTCCCTAGGTATGTGGAGCACAAAACTTAAGTTCTTCCTAAGCAAAGGGCCAATGAGATAAAGAGTCAAGACACACTCTCTAAAGAAGTTGCTATCTGACCAGTTCCCACTCCTCTAGCTCTGCACAAACTCGACTAATGTAATTTTGAGAAGAAATTGTGTATTTTTTCTGAGAGACAAGGAAGAGAAAGTCTAGCCGAAGATATCACGAGGGCTACAAAGTTAGAACAACTTCTACAGAGACAGACCACCGACCAAGAAAAATATAATGGTTATGAGATGTTTAGGCAATTTATGACCATTTATATTACACTACTGGTATAAGCTTACATGTGAATATACCAGTGCTATGGTAAGGAGGGCTATAGAAAAACTTATGTATAAATAAAAGTGAATTACATTTAACATAAAACTTTTACTTACCATCTTTCTTTCTTTTGATTTCATTAAGCAACACTTGCGAATTTATCAGTAGGTTTTTTTCCAAAAGAGGGGGCACTCTCCACTATTCTCTACCGTGTGTGAGCAGAGAAAATAATCATTCACATTCCTTTAAATACCACAAAACAGATAAAACAAAAATGAGCTAATATTTAGATAAATACTATTACAATTATGTCATGTACTTTTTTATATCAGATGAATCGTAGCCTCAGAACGTTAACAAAAACCATAACATTTGCATCCATAGTTCACTCAGTTTAAAACAATGATGACTGATAACAGGAGTCCAATGTATTTCATGCACGCTACTTATCCACTTAAAAAGTGGAGGTGGGAAGACAGCAAGGAAAGCAACAGGGGCCTGATCCTGTTCCCATCAAAGAAAATGGGAAGTTTGCCATTAACTACAAGATGCTGGATTGTGCCTTTGGTTTGCTGGCAGAACCATATGTGAATTTTGTATTTTCTCTTGTGGCTAAAACACAGTCATTTGCTGCCCTCTAGAAACAGACTGACGCATATACTTTGTTTTTCTTCAATACAGGCCTGTTCCTAGCTGTAATTTTTTAAATGTCTGTAACAACAATGCAGAGCAATGTCGAAGGACGAGAGAGATGTGATGAACTACGAGGTACTGAGAATTTTGAAGTGTTCTCTGAATTCACAGTCATTTGAGAACATGACTGATTATTTTGGTGGAAGTGGGGAATGGTGTCATGTATTGCTCCTGGGATTATCAAACAGAGTTAACTTCCAAGAAGAAATTAACTCAAATTATTTCTTTACCCTGTTTAATAAAACTGAAAATTAGCAAAAGAGGACCATGACTGCATTTTTTAAAGCACAACCCTCACCACACTGATACAGGCCACAGAGAGGAATGGGAGATTCATCAGGTTATGCTGAAAAAATCACAAAATAAGTCTGCAAGTTTCAGTTAGGTGTAATGTTTTAATAGTTAAATTTTTTATTGCCTTCAAAAGTAGTAGTTAACTCATTTATTAATAATGACTATGTGCTTATCAAGTTTTTAGAAATTTTTGTTCAATTTTATTTTGGTTTTATTAGTAGGACAAAAAAGTCTAAAAAGTACTGGGAAGTATATGGTTTCCACCAACTCTCCAACGACCTAGGAATGGCTAATGAAATTTCCTTTAAATTCTACAAAGACAACCCTCAAACCTTCTAACCTCAGCTCCAAGCAGAAGTCAAAGAATCTAGGTGTGAAAGCAATGAATAAGGTTAAAATGTCATCTACCATTCAATTATCATCGCATAATGCAATTAGATGATGAGTATACACTTTTCTTAGGTTTGTTTTTTTAATTTCACTACCATCACAAGTGGATTTTATGGGTGAAACATTCAAAAGTAGAAATATTGTTCTAGTGCCATTCCACAAACTGCCAAATGCCATTTATTTAGATCTCACACCATGCTCATTACTACATTATGTTCCCCAAAGTGACCAACAACTTGCAGACCAAGTCTTGAACAGCTGAAAAGTTCTTGATTCTCCTTACATCAGACCAATACTATCAGAAAAACTGCCCACTTAAGGATATCTGCACTAAGCTACCAAATATCTGACGTATTCGTATTTACCAGCCATTTTAAAAAAATCTTGTCTTGCTTCTTTTCACAGTACTTTGGCAACAAATACAAGGAGGATGGGCTTGCAACTTTAAATCTGAAGTTAGGTACTCATGAGAATCAAACTGAATTAGATTGTTGTGCCATATATTATTTTAGAGACAGATAAGAGACCTCCAAATTAAGATTTTGGTTGGTGAAATATATTTCTGATGTCTCATTTAAATGTCAGAAGTTAGGTAAAGTGAATCTAGAGCTGTTTACATCTCCTAATAAACCTTAATTTATTAGTAATGCTAATGTTACACGCTTTCCAGAATGAGTCTGAGTATTTTTCCTTTGAAAAGTGCAAATCAGAAATTCAAGAACTCATTTCAAGTACACTCTCCTCCTAACCAGATCTATGCTATTTTTGCTTCTAATTAACTTATCTAAAATCAAAGTTTGTTTTAAATGGAGGTACCCGGCAAGGTCAAGACCAAGGGTCCAAGAGTTTAAACAGGTTTTCCGTGAATAAAAAATAGTTGTACAGTCTTCCAAAGAACAGGACAGAGACAGAGTTTAATCGCTTCACTTTGATTATTTGAGTCAGCTGCAACTATTTTAAATACCCTTAAAGAATGTCAAGCCAGGAACTCAGAAAGTTTTCTCAGCTTGCTGGCTGTGGAGTTTTCAACTAAATAAAGCATGGAGTGGATGCCACCAAGTGGTAGCTGTTATCACATACCAGTATCTTCATCATGACCTGACTTTAGGCTGCCACTTCAGCTGCAGAAAATATTCCTGGTACAGCAGTTTGTTGGGAACAGAATACTACTATTGTAAAAAGAGGAAAACAAGGATAAAATTTGATTCCTACTGCTAATGACAGAACTGTCACGGACTTAAATGAAACCAATATCAACTTCCTTTTGAAGCTTTATAAAATAATCTGAGAGCAAATCCAAGGTTGCCCGAAAGACCAGATCTGCAGTTCACATAGATAGCAAACATGCAAAAAAGCCCCTAGGTGCACCTGGAAGAGACCCTCTGAAGTATAACTGATTGTTTGGGTATATCTACACTGCTAAATTTTATAGGGCCATAAGACAAAACCAAGTATTGCTTAATTGGTTTATCACTCCCCTACTCTTGGCAGTTCCAAATTATTCTCTCTCAGACGAAGTACAGGCACAGTGCTGGGAACAATTTACTCCAGGGAATGATCACAAAAGTCAGCTGGTTGAAACTGCACCAGGTTTGCTGTGTCTGCTCTGCAATTGACTCCCTCCGTTCTCTACCATCCTTCAACATTATTGCAGCAAATTTTGCCCCTCAAACATCTCATAAACCACATCCCAGGACATATATAGCCTCAGTTCCGTGCTACAAAAACACTCAGGAGGGCTGTTTCATGCCTTTGCATTATTTCAGCCACAGTGGCACCACAAGAGACCCAGAGGAGACATCCAGGCATACAGTACAGATGCAGCCAACCTGCTCTACTACCAGTCCTGAGCTAGCAATTACAGTGAAGGCATAAGACAACCCCTGCCACTTGGTGTTGGGATCTCTGGGAAGCAGTTGCTTATATGAGAAGCAATTTAGAAACATGCCCTGTCTACAATCTCATTCTTGAAGAGCAATATAGACATCCTTCAGGAATCCTGCCACGACTACCAGTATGAGTCTGGCATAGAAGACATGAAGAAACTTCCATCAAAGGTATTGCACCTGGTACATGTTGCAGACGCCTGGTCCAAACACATGAGCTCCATCGATCTCACCACTCTTCCAACCTCACTCACTTCAGTTCTGAAGGATCTAGGAGAAATTCCCTACCTGCTGAATGGGGCAACAAAGAACCCTCTACTCTCCGATCTGCTTCTCAGGCAGCAAAGTGACTTGCCACCAGTTTTGTATTTTAATAAATATAAAATTGAAAAAGAGTAATTCTGACTTGCTTGTTCTTGTTGACTCATACTCATTTCAATAATAAAGTATGTCTGGAAAATAACTATTTACTAATTAAAATTATGTACTATGTTAATAATACAAGTGTCTATTTAATTAATGTGTGTATTATCACAGTTATCTGAATGCAAAAGACATTAGATTGCTTCTGGCACTAGCTTGAGGGGAATGGCAAAACAGCCTGGCTTCACTGCCTACCTTCATCAATCAGAGCCCTGGAAAGCCGAGCGGGCTGCTTCAGTGCTACTGCCACTGAAGGAACGAGGGACGGTGCTGCAGAACAAGTAGCAGGCCCACTCTCCAAAGCTTCTTTTCCTCACCATCTATGCCCTAATTTCAAATAAATCTTTTGCTTCTTACTAAAGATTCCCAGGGAGAGGTGCAATAATAGTCTCCTTCCAAGAGTCCCCTCTGCCCTGTCTTTCCAGCAACACAAGTAGATTGGCGCAGGCTCTTTGTCTTCAACACTGTTCACGATGTGCCTACACGGCTCAGGAATCTTGAGCAGGCTTCAGGAAAGCACTTTGACAGCCTAAGCTAGGATTTCTACAGTGCTACCAGCAATAACTGGAGCACCATTTGTTGACACTAATGAATAAGAACGTTCAGAATCATCTAGACGGCAGATCCAGGAAACAGATGTTTTCCAACACCTTCCCTGGCATATGAATCAGTACTCACTACACGTAACTGAGATCATGGTCTGCATCACGACAAATGTGATTACCTTAAATAGAGTATCAAACATCATAAAACAGTGTCAACACAGAACATCTTCATCTGTCAATATCTGAGCAGTAGGTCTTAATGATAAACGAGAAACAATGTGGATTAGCTAGACTGGGGTAACAACTCAAGGAGATAGGGTCCTACTACACAAATGAGAATCTGGGAGAAACAAGTCTGAAAGTGTACATGGTATAAAAAAGTGGCAGTAAGACTGAGACAAAACCTTACTTTCTGACAGATCACTGAAAACAAGACATCAAAAAAACTTGCATAGCAGCATGTTCCAGACATATTTCACATTTCACCTTTGAACTCAGTTTGCATAAAGAAAAGCACAGGAGCAGAAACACTTACCCAAAGGTAAGCAAGAAAGCAAACAAAAGAACTCCTCTTAGTTTATAAAAAACATAGCACCATAAAAGCATGAGTGCCTGTACTGGACAAGATCAAAGATCCCGCTAGCCCAGCATCCTACCTCTGAGAGCGGCCAAAGCTCTTTTAAAGAACTAAGAACACAACAGGCAAATGCATAAATCATCAAGAGGCTTCTACGCTCTAACCAATACTGACAAAATGGATGACAGAAGGTTATACCGGCCTACGGGTATTAGCCCGAGGAAACAATGTTTTACTGTTTTTCTAATTATGTTGTCAATTTTTTCTCTAACAAACTAACTGATTTTTAATTAAGATATCCAGAACTTGGTATTGGAGACTTGTGCGTCAGGGAAGGATGGTTCCCACAAGCTGCCTCTCGTTCTTGAGAAAACACAGAGCTAGGAATAAGAGGTGGTCTAGTTCCTGCATTAAGAAAGGGAACTGCAGACCCAAAGTGAAATAGCAGGAAGAGGGGAACTGTTGCAGCAGAAGAAAACACTTTAAACTATTAAATCTCAAAGAACAACCCCCAATCCACTATGAGCTAAACCCATATGCTAAAATTAATGTTGTTTGACATCCAAGATCTGCAGTGATTGCCTTTCTATACATATAATAGGATTCGATAGCATAGGTGCATGTGAAAATGGAAAATTATAAAAAAAGTTTAGATTTTTAAAAATATTGTGAAGTTACAAAACACACTAGGAGAAAAGAAGTAGTCACACAAACATATAGGCAGCTCATCAATTACATACAGAGACTTAATCACATAAACTGTAGTGCACGGATGAACCTCTGGACCTGTATGGATCAGTTGGTAACTACTATACCATATAAATTAATGTCAGTTAACTTAAATGAAAGTGACTGAATATTCTGTTGGTATTTTACACATATATCTAGGACAAACTCATTGACAAGATGTGAAATTCCAACCCAGAAAAATGGCTCTACCTTACCAATGGCTAAAATGTTTCCTAAATATTACAGAAGAAATTCTATCCCAATCCGTGTTCTTGAAGTTTCCACAGACTCATGCATACACAGCAATGACAGGCAATTCCTCACTGCTGCTGAAAACTGCTGGAGTTTTATACTGTTGTTCAATACAACAGTACAGAGAATTTACTCAAGTTCATTTAAGTCAGGAGGACTCTGTTGCTTATGCTCTGGAGGAATATTGGAAAACATCGTCAATTGGCTATTTCAGAGCTTTCTTCTCTTCTGAATTTGTCATTTATAAGATGTCACCATCTTTAGTATGTTATTCTGGAAACTTACTTAGAGGTAATGAGCAGGAAATTTGGCATTACTTTCAACATCATTCTCCATAATTATTTCTAAATCATAGTACAAAAATATTTTTCCACTCCATGATTTATGCAGCTTGTGCTCTTGTGCACTCTCTGATGACTCAAAATTTCAACAGGCCCTCATGACATTATCTTCAACTTTCTATGTGCAGCTGGAGCTGGTGGGCCATACATTCCAGGACTATCTGCAGCATCGTATTAAGAACTATTAAGTCAAGTCATGTGCGAAATCAGCATATACAAATTAAGTTTTTTAATGTCTATGCTAAGTCCTATATTTCAGGACTGGAGTAGATTTAGTTTGCAATAGCTGAAGATGAGCTGTCATTCCTCTTTTGTGTCTTGTTCCAGTGACTACTACTTCTTTGATTTTAATCACAAGTAACTTTTGCTTATTTTCAAAGTCTTTTACCCTCTCATTAAGTGTCAGTCTCTGTTTCTCATTGGCCCGTAATTTGAAGCAAATAACTTTGTACTTCTTCTTACAATGTTTATATAGCACCTCATACACCACCATTCTGCTGTTTATTAAGAATTTCTGGGTATTCTGGTACTTGCTTTGCTTGAGCTTTCCTGGGTGACTAAGTCTAAACATGCTCTAAGTAGCAGAATGGATGTTTTCAACTTTCAGAGCTCTTAACACTACAG